GTGAGTCCCAGTGACCCCCGGTTCTCACCGCCCCCCTGCGCCCCAGTGGAGCCCATCGCGGCGAGGCTTAAGGAGGCCCGGCTGCAGAGGGATGACTTCGAGATTCTGAAGGTGATCGGACGAGGGGCGTTCAGCGAGGTGAGCCCTGAGCCACAGCGGGGAGCCTTGGCTTTTGTTGCCTTGGGCGGGACAGAGGAGTTGGGGCGGGGCCGTAGAAATTGATGAATGAGTTGGGGACCTGAAACTAGGAGGTGGGGGCGGAGCTTAAGGCCAATGGGCGGGGCGTGGTGGGCGGGGCTTGGGAGTCCTGTCCGCGCTATCCGGGGTGTTTCTCGCCACCGCCCCACCTCGCCGGCACCCTGTTTCGGCCTTCAGGTAGCGGTGGTAAAGATGAAGCAGACGGGCCAGGTGTACGCCATGAAGATAATGAATAAGTGGGATATGTTGAAGAGAGGCGAGGTGAGAGACCCGGGACTGGATGCGCAGGGCCCTGAGGACCGTCCCCCCCAAACTCCCCCCAACCGCTTCAGCTCCTGGGGTGCCCCGCAGGTGTCCTGCTTCCGCGAAGAGAGGGATGTGTTGGTGAACGGGGACCGGCGCTGGATCACGCAGCTGCACTTCGCCTTCCAGGATGAGAACTACCTGGTGAGCCCGAGACCCGGTGACTCGAGTCACTTGGGGGCCTCTACCCCAAGACTATCAATTAACGAGGCGCGGGCAGCGAAAGGTTCTAAGGTGGGGGAGCTGCCTCGAAATGCCCGCGGGAGTCTGTGTGTGGTAGGAACCGGCCTCCTTTGCTGGGGTGGCAGGTGGTCCTTCAGGTTCTTCTCCCAGGCTGATTGGAGAGCGGAGGGCTCTACAAAGCTGCTGCCTTTGGGCGAGTCTTACGTGGGACCGGGGAGCTCTGTAGCGTCTGGGGAGCGGGGCACTGGGCAGGGGGTACCTGGGGGACTCCATTGTGGGCATTAGGTCTCTGGGTTCTCTTCTTACCTCTCTCGGGGTGGGGGGCGAGTCTCTGCCTAGTGTCATCTGGAAGAACTCGGGCTTTGGGGGAGGAGGAGAGAGGTCTCTGATAAGGCCTGGAAGATCTCGGGTGCTCCCTTGGGGCTGCCGCTGCGGGATCTCTGCCCAGGAACCGGGGCATCCCTGGGAGTCTTTGCCCAGGGCTGTCAGGGATAGGCAGGCACCTAGGGTGGTCACCAACCCCGGTGACACGCCCCCTCCCAGTACCTGGTCATGGAGTACTATGTGGGCGGGGACCTGCTGACGCTGCTGAGCAAGTTCGGGGAGCGGATCCCAGCCGAGATGGCGCGCTTCTACCTGGCCGAGATCGTCATGGCCATAGATTCGGTGCACCGACTGGGCTATGTGCACAGGTGGGCGCTGCAGGGGCTTAGGGGCGGGGACTGAGGGTGGGGTGTGGAGAGGGACAGCAAGAGTGGGGCCCCGAAGGATACCACAATGGTTGGACCCCAGAGGGGGCGAGGTCTGGAGAGGGACCTGGCTGTCTCCGGTCCACGGGAGACAGGCCTGGGGAGTTGTGTCCAGAACTGTAGAATCTGTAGAGGGGGTGCTATTCGGTGACAGGAGGCCTGAGGGCAAGGCCTGGAGGCTCTGGAACTGAAGAGCCCAGTCCCTAAGAGGGCGGGGTCCAAGCCTGGTGAGAGTATGAGAAGGAGGCTCACTTATTTCCCCTCCACTCCCTTCTTCCCGCTGTGCAGGGACATCAAACCGGACAACATCCTTCTGGACCGCTGTGGCCACATCCGCCTGGCCGACTTCGGCTCCTGCCTCAAGCTGCGGCCTGACGGGACGGTGAGCGGTGAGGGGTGGGGTCAGGTGCGGAGTGTGGGGGCGGGGCTGAGGCTCAGGGGCGGAGCTAGGGTGGAGGTTGGACTGGATTTGAGCGGGAAGAAGCACGTGACCCAGGCCTGCGAGTGGCTCTGGGTTACAACGGGCAGGGGGAGGGACTAACCACTCGAAGAGGCGGGGCCAGGGCTCGGAGGGGCGGGGCTTAGCCCGACTCTGGTTCTTTTGGCTCAGGTGCCGTCGCTGGTGGCTGTGGGCACCCCCGACTACTTGTCCCCGGAGATCTTGCAGGCCGTGGGCGGTGGGCCGGGGACTGGCAGCTACGGGCCCGAGTGTGACTGGTGGGCACTGGGCGTGTTCGCCTATGAAATGTTCTATGGGCAGACGCCATTCTATGCCGACTCCACAGCCGAGACCTATGGCAAGATCGTCCATTACAAGGTGAGCAGGGCCCCTGGGGTCCCTGATCAATCTGCACCTGCTCCCGGCATGACGTCCCTGCTTTCTCTCCCGCTCTGAACAGGAACACCTGACTATACCGCTGGCTGACGCCGGAGTCCCTGAGGAGGCTCGTGACCTCATCCAGCGACTGCTGTGTCCCCCGGAGACACGGCTGGGCAGGCATGGCGCGGGCGATTTCCAGAAACATCCTTTTTTCTTTGGCCTCAATTGGGATGGTCTCCGAGACAGCGTGCCTCCCTTCACTCCGGATTTTGAGGGTGCCACCGACACCTGCAACTTCGATGTGGTGGAAGACGGGCTCACTGCCATGGTGAGCGGGGGCGGGGTAGGTACTTGCGACTCCGTGCTCCCCGTTCCATAAAGCTCCAGTCAGGAGACCGTCCACGTCCTGGGCTCCTGCGATCATTTCGTCCCCTGAACAACTGCTCTGAGCAAGTGCTGGGATGCCAGCAGTGATCTAGACACACAGTCCTGTGGGGGACACATGTCCTGAGACAGTAAGACCCTGGAAGAGATCAGGGCTGAGATGAGGGAGCGCAGGGGGCAGGGCTTCCTGGAGGGCTGCCTGGAGGAGGGCACCATCTGAGCTAAGATCCGGAAGGATAAGGGGTGGAAGACAGGCAAGCACCGTAGAGAAATCTCCCTCCCTCCTGCATCTTTCTTTCAATTGTCACACAAGCCCTCCCGGAGAGCTTTTACTCAGACCGGGTGCCCCTAGGCTGGGCCCTCATTCACTTTCAGTCTGAAGGAGAATGTAAGGACAGTGTGGCACTAAGGGAAACAGCGGGACACAGTGAAAGATTAGGCCCTAAGTAAAGGGTGGGTTGGGGGCAGCACTGAAGCCAAGAGTGGGAAGGGGCGAGGGTCCGGCCCTGACAACCGAGGGTCACCTCCCGTCTGATTCTCTTGTACAGGAGACGCTGTCAGACATGCAGGAGGGTGCGCCGCTGGGGGTCCACCTGCCTTTCGTGGGCTACTCCTACTCCCGCATGGCCCTCAGGTAAGCCCCTGTGCCGTATCCGGGGAGCTCAGACCGCGGCGCTTTGAAATGTCAGATTCGATTGTAAAGCGTCCGAGCCATGGCCTGGGCCTGCCAGAATCTCCCGACCTTCCACTTTTAGGTTTCTCGTTCCCAGAGGCACGGGACCTGAGAATCTTAGAAAAGGAGCATTTTTAAATCAGTCTTACAATAACAAAAACTCTCTGAATCACTCACATAGCCATAAGGTATTCTTGAAACATTGACCCTATTGATAACACATTGCTCAACACCTAATTAGGAAACGAGGATAGGAAAAAGGAAGCCCACCATCAGCAAGGGTCCCTGGGTCGTGCGCGCGCACGCATCCATCTGACACTGGGAACACGCCGCATTCTAACGGGTGCTGTTGCCGGACAGTGTACCGCAGACACCGTTTCTTATCGTGAATGAACTGCAACCTGACCCTGCGCACATTCTCCTTACCAAGTGGGTCAGGACTGAGCCCGCCCTCTCCGTCCTAAGCCAGGCTGGATGAACAGCCACAGGCTGGTCTGGGTGCACGCCCAGAATTGTTAGGTCCCCAGGAGGTAGTTCCATGAGGGGGCTGCTGGATTGAGAGGGACATCCATCTTTTTTTTTTTTAAGATTTTTTTAATCCTTTTTTTTTTTTTTTTTTTTTTTAGATTTTATTTATTTTTAGATAGGGAAAGGGAGGGAGAGAGTTAGAGAAACATCAATGTGTGGTTGCCTCCCACATGGCCCCCACTGGGACCTGGCCTGCAACCCAGGCATGTGCCCTGACTGGGGATCGAACCAGCAACCTTTGGTTCCCAGCCCACGCTCAATCCATTGAGCTACACCAGCCAGGGCTTAAGATTTTATTTATTTATCTTTAGAGGGAAGGGAAGGAGAGAAATATCAATGTACGGTTGCCTCTTGTGCGTCCCCTCCTGGGAAATGGCCTGCAACCCAGGCATGTGCCCTGACTAGGAATCGAACCGTGATCCTCTGGTTCATAGGTCCGTGCTCAATTCACTGAGCTACACCAGCCAGGCATCTTTTTTTTTTTTAATTAATTAATTTATTTTTAGAGGGAGGGTAGGAGAGGGAGAGAAACATTGATATGTGAGAGAAACATCCATCAGTTGCCCCTTGCATGTCCCCAAGAGGGGACCTGGCCCGCAACCCAGGCACATGTGCTGACTGGGAATCAAACTGGTGACCTTTCACTTTGCAGGACGACACTCAACCAACTGAACCGTGGCAGTCAGGGCGGGACATCCACTTTTATTGCCATTTTGCATTCATAGGGAGGGTTTGTCCCCCTCCCAGTGGCTAATGTCCAGAGTCACAGTCTTGGGATCTATACCCCGTCTTATGACTCTACCTTTGGAGGTGGCCAGAGATGGGCAGTGTTCCCCTCATTGGGTCCCCATCACTGTCCTGAGGCCCTAAGGAGAGGAGCCTGCAAAGGTCACATAGAGGAGGAGCTGAGTGGACCCTAGAACATGGGTGTCTGTACCCCGAGTTCCCGCCGAAGGTGCAGAGGGCAGCTGCCAGGGGCCTGCAAGGATCAGGCGTTTTCCCTTCGGGGAGATGAGCCCGCCACACCAACCTAGAAGTTTGTCCCCTCACTCTGCCGCCTCCCCCTCAAGCCGTGGGGCCTTTGGATCTGGCTGCCCCAGGCCCACAGGCCAGGGAGCCCTGGCTCCCCCCCCAGCCCTCTCCATCTCCTCAGGGATGATGAGGTCCAGGGCCCCACGCTCATGGAACTGGAGGCCGAGCCGTTACCTGAGCCACCTGTGCAAGGGCCCAGCCTGGAGCCCATGGTGCCCCCATCAGAGGAAGCGGTGAGTGCTTGGAGCAGAGGGTCAGTCAGAGAAAAGGCAAAGGCCCCGGGGTAGGTACGTGCCATGGCACGCTGAGCCCTCTGGGAGCTACTCACAGAGACGTTCCTTCAGTCAGAAATGATCAGAGGGCACTGAGTGTGTCTGCAGGGGGCTCTCTGGGGAGGGGACGCCCTGCAGAAGAAGGACCATCCACAGGAGGGACAGTACCCACTGCTTAGCAGGGGAAACCTCCAGGGCAAAGGTCCTGAGCTGAGAACAAGCCGGGCTGTTGTTTTTCTTTTAAGTTTTATTCATTGATTTTAATGAGAGAAAAGGAGAGAGAGAAACATCAGTTTGTTGTTCCACTTATTTATGCATTCTTTGGTTGGTTCTTATATGTGCCCCAACTGGGGATCGAACCCACCACCTTGGCATGTTGGGATGCTGCTCTAACCAACTGAGCTACCCACCAGGGACCCAGCTGGTTTGTTCTTGACCTGTAAAAGGAGGGTACTGAGGCTGAACTGTTCCAGGAGAAGGGGGGGCGAAGAGTGAGGAGAGAGGAGGCCACAGAGGCCAGCCAAAATGAATGAAACAGGGCCTATTGGTGTAGCAGGACTTCTCAGAGGGCACTGAGGAGCTGGAGAAATTCTGAGCAAGGGAGAGACGTGGGCAAGTTGTGTTAGCATTTTAGTTCCCCTAAGGAGATGAGTGGAAATGGAACCTGCTGAAGGCTGGAGACCAGGGTGGGCGCTGGGTTAGGGAAGGAGGGTGCTTGGACCATTGCAGGAGCTGTGAGGTCTCCAGAAAGCTCTGGGGACAGTGAAGTACAGGACAAGCAAGGAGCCCAGGCCTGGAACCTATGCCTAGGTCTCGGGTGCTCCAGGAGCTACGGGCAGCCCTAAGCCCAGTCCGCTCCACGCAGGCTGAAGTGGCAGTTCCAGCAGCCATCCCAGCGGCTGTGGCAGAGGCGGAGGTGACCTTGCAGGAGCTCCAGGAGGCCCTGGAGGAGGAGATGCTCACCCGGCAGAGCCTGAGCCGGGAGCTGGAGGCCATCCGCACGGCCAACCAGAACTTCGCCAGGTAGGGGGCCGGGGCGCAGGGCCTGGCACTACCTTTGGCGGCCTCTCTCCGAGATCCCGAAGGGTTCACGGTCCTTACCTCCCCTCAGTCAACTCCGTGAGGCGGAGGCCAGGAACCGAGACCTGGAGGCGCACATCCAGCAGCTGCAAGAGCGGATGGAGGGGCTGCAGACGGAGGGAGGCGCCGGTGAGTCCCTCATTCACCTCCTTTCCCGAGGGCACCAGGGGAAGTGGGCCTGCGAGCCTGTGTGGACACCTAGGGGAGGGCGAGGGGCCCAGGCTGGGGCACACTGCGCCACCGCCCTCCTCCGTCACTCCACGCGCCCTACGCCTCTCTCTTCTCCTTCCAGCTGTCACAGGGGTCCCCAGTCCCCGGGCCACGGATCCACCTTCCCATGTAAGACCCCTCTTTTTCCCCTGCGTCAAGCCTGCTGCCCCCATCTTACCCTATCCCTTTGGGGTTCTAAGCAACAGAACTTTCCTTTCAACCCCACATCCACCAGATCTCCCACGATTCAGGCCTCTCACCAAATCCCACCCGGGAGCTCCTTCGAGTCCCTCCCCCACCTCAGCTCCCCCCCCCCCCCCCGCCGAGGTGGTTGGGCTCCGGATTGGGTCACCTGTCCCTTCTCTCTCCAGCTAGATGGCCCCCCGGCCGTGGCTCTGGGCCAGTGCCCACTGGTGGGGCCAGGCCCCATGCACCGCCGCCACCTGCTGCTCCCTGCCAGGGTACGTCCGGCTGCTCACACTCACCCGCCGCCGCGCCCCCGCCCCGCTCCACTCACCCCAAGCCGCCTTTGCTTAGCTGCGCCTCTGTGGGGCTCGGCCGCGGGGAGAGAAGGGTGCTCTGGCAGCCGATCAACACAGGCCGCTAGAAAGTTGCCAATGACGAGTTCGGACAAGACTAGAGGCTTGCGAGCTGACCAACCACAGCTGCTGGAGTAGTCCGGGTTGGGGTGGCGGGGCAGGGTGGGTGCAGGAAGGAATGTGGACCCACCCGTGAGCAGAGGCGGGGCGTCCCAGCAGCGAATCAGAACCCCCCCCCCCCCCGCGCTTTTGCCCACAGATCCCTAGGCTTGGCCTATCGGAGGCGTGTTCCCTGTTCCTGTTCACCGCTGCTCTGGTTGGTACCACCGCCCTGGGCTGCACTAGGTTGGTGGCCTGCGCAGGATGTCTCACTTCGGTCTGGTGCCGCCCAGGAGCCGCCTTCGCCCCCTGAACTTTAGAATCCCAGCCTGTCCTCCACTCAGGCCCCGTTTGAGGGTTGTGACCCAGGCATGGCCCAGAAGCCATTCCCACCGCCTCCTTGTTCACACCACTCCAAGCGTGGGTCTCCGCCTCAGCTCCGCCTTGTGATCCGGGCCCGCCCCCTGGCGGCCGGGGAGGGAGGAGCCGGGCCCAAGGCCGGAGTGTGGGACTAAAGGGAGGCTTACAACCAGGAGTGGTGCTGCTGCTGTTGGGGGTAATCTCGGACCACTTCCTCCGGCTTGGCTGAGGCCACGACGTGGATGGGCAAAATGCGATCTAGAAAAGGCAGCAGGGCAGAGTTCAGCCATCCGTTTTTCACCCTCCACGCACCCCACCCACATCGGCTCAGAAACCACAAATCCTTGTGCATGAGGCCCTGCTCCCCTGGCAACGTTCTCTGCAAGAGGAGAACGTGTAGCGAGAGCCCCGTCGCTCTCTAGGGAATCGTTCGCTTTTACCAGCCCTGCTTTTTCGGGGCCTCCCGCGCCCTTCTGAGCAGTTTGGGTATTTATTGACCTGACTTCTGACCCGCTGAAGGTTCCAGGACCCCAGCACCCTAATCCACGTTTTGGATGCACTGAAACCTTGACCTCCTTGGATATTTATTGTTTCTCCCCACCTAGGACCCCCACCCCCTATCCTCGCGAATAAAAGGCCCTCTTGTCTGCCCAAACCTCTGAGGTCCCAGTTGTTTGAGGTTTACGTTGCGGGAAAGAGGTTGTCTAGTGCTCCAATCAGAAAGAAAGGGGAGGTATCCAATGGCCTGGCGAGGAGCTACGCGAAGCGGACGAATCAGGGGTGTGGGTGGGGCTCGGGGGCATGGCCCCAGCACCCGGCCAATAGGAGGACGCAAACGGGTACATCTCCCTCCCCCCTCCCCCCACCCTGCCCTGCCCGCCCGCTACACACACACCACCAGACACCGCTTGTTGTCCAGCTGTGGCCCAGCTGTGCTACTGGATCCCCGGGAAGCAGGGGGCTGGGCCGGCCGCGCGCGCATCCATTCTCCTATTACTGCGCTTGCGCGGGCCACGCTCATCCGTTCCAGGGACTTACGCTCCAAGAAGTTACAGCAAACTTTTTAGCCTCTCCGCCCGCCCCTTCTCCATTCCAGACCCGCCTCCCTGTGGAGCCGGGAATTCCGAGGGGCGGAGCACAGGCAGAGATGGGGAGTGGGGGGGCCTCCAGAGGACCCTGGAGACGGAGGCGTGCAGAAGCTCAGTCTTGGGGCGGAGGTGGCTTCGCGCCCTTAGCCCTCCCGGACGGCCCGTTACCTTCTCCGTTGTCCCGATGGGGAAACTGAGGCCCTGAGCCAAAGGCACACGCGGGGGGAGGCAAAAAGAGCGGCCCGAAGCAGAGGGAAAACAAAGGGAGAATCACGGACTGCCGGGGAGGGGAACGCGCACACACAGACACTGGGAGAGAGACCCTACTTGGGCGCTTGGCCTGGCATTGAGGGGGAGACGCAGAGTCGTTAGGAGAAGATCGGGAAGCGCGAACGGCGTGGGGGGGGGGGTGTTGAGAGGGGGGACGGGCCGGGGAGGGGGCTGGGGAAAGCCCGAGGGAGGAGGAGAAGGAGGGAGGAACTTCCCAAAGTTGCAAAACATGGCTACCTTGCCTGCGGAGCCGAGCTCGGGGCCGGTGGCTGGGGGGGAGGCGGTGGCGGCGGCAGCGACCGAAGAGGAGGAGGAGGAAGCGCGCCAGCTCCTGCAGACTTTGCAGGCGGCCGAGGGTGAGGCGGCGGCGGCGGCCGGGGCCGGGGCGGGCGAAGCGGCGGCGGGAGCGGAGGGCCCGGTGTCCCCGGGCGTCCCCGGGTCGCCCCTCGAGGCCGCTGCCGAGCCGCCCACGGGCCTCCGCTTCTCGCCCGAGCAGGTGGCGTGCGTCTGTGAGGCGCTGCTACAGGCGGGCCACGCCGGCCGCTTGAGCCGCTTCCTGGGCGCACTGCCTCCGGCCGAGCGCCTACGTGGCAGCGACCCGGTGCTGCGCGCTCGGGCCTTGGTGGCCTTCCAGCGGGGCGAGTACGCCGAGCTCTACCGGCTGCTCGAGAGCCGTCCCTTCCCCGCCGCCCACCACGCCTTCCTGCAGGACCTCTACCTGCGCGCGCGCTACCACGAGGCCGAGCGGGCCCGCGGCCGCGCGCTGGGCGCAGTAGACAAGTACCGTCTGCGCAAGAAGTTCCCGCTGCCCAAGACCATCTGGGACGGAGAAGAGACCGTCTACTGCTTCAAGGAGCGCTCCCGCGCCGCGCTCAAGGCCTGCTATCGCGGCAACCGCTACCCCACACCGGACGAGAAGCGCCGCCTGGCCACGCTCACAGGCCTCTCGCTCACGCAGGTCAGCAACTGGTTCAAGAACCGGCGACAGCGCGACCGGACTGGGGGCGGTGGCGGCGCACCCTGCAAGAGGTGAGGGGACCCTGGCAATGCAGGCCCCGCTTTTCCGTGCTGCCCAACAGCCCCCTTCTCCCACATGCCCACTGCTGGAGCCAGCGCGCAGTCTTCAGACGCCTCCGGCTCGCACCCTCTGGCGCCCAAAGAGCGGGGTGGGGGGGAATAGTGCGGATGGAAGGGGCACACGCCCCGGCCCTCTCCCCGACATCGCTGCACCTCTCATGGAGGCTGGGAGGTCTCTTTCCTCTGCTTCTCTGGGGCTCCATCCCAGATCCCATCCGTGTGGGTGGCTAGACTGCGGCAGGGGGCAGCGAGAAAAGGGGCTGCGGGGAAAGGGGGAGGGGCCTTTGTCCACCCTACCCGGTGTGAGGGCTTCTTTCTGTCCGCAGCACAGCCGAGCCCTTCCCGGACCGTGGCTCTTTCTCACACCCCCTTCCCCGCCACCCCCCGCCTCGGGGCCCAAACAGCATGGTCCGTAGTCTGTCTTTGTTGTGAAACGTGAACCTTCCCCAGCTCCGGTTTCCCTGTAACCCAAGCCCTTCCCCTCCCACCCCACACGCCGGCCTCACTCCCTTCTCTGACGGCCTGGGAGGAGGGCACCGGGAGCTGAGCAGGCAGCTGCCTCCTCGATCTCCAAAGCCACTGGGCTGCTTTCTGCCTTGGCCCAGGAGACTCAGGGCAGCGTGGGTGCTCAGCTTCTGGGACACAGGGAGGAGGGCCTCCTCCTTCCGGGTTTGGCCAACTTTAGCTTTGATGCCAGTGGCTTGCAGAAGATCTGTCCCTGGGGTCCTTAGGTGGTCTCAGAGAGAAGGTTTCATAACCCCCAGAAACTGTTCCCAAAAGGCTGGGCTGGGAAAAGTGGGGAGGCGCCTGGAACCCTGCAGGCATCTGGCTGGCCAGTGGAGGAAGGCTGCGTTCAGGGCCACAACTTCAAATCCTTTCTCCCGGCAGCGAGTCTGATGGGAACCCCACTACCGAGGATGAGTCCAGCCGCAGTCCTGAGGACCTGGAGAGGGGGGTGGCCCCCGTGGCCACTGAGGCCCCTGCCCAGGGCTCCATATTCCTGGCTGGGGCCGCCCCTCCTGCGCCATGCCCTGCCTCTTCCTCCATCCTGGTGAACGGGAGCTTCCTGGCTGCCAGCAGCTCCTCAGCGGTGCTCCTCAACGGGAGCCCTGTCATCATCAACAGCCTGGCCCTGGGTGAAGCCTCCAGCCTGGGCCCCCTGCTGCTCGCAGGGGGTGGGGGCGCCCCGCCACCACAGCCTAGTCCCCCAGGCCCCAGTGAGGGCAAGACCTCCTTGGTCCTGGACCCTCAGACCGGGGAGGTTCGACTGGAGGAGGCCCAGCCTGAGGCCCCCGAAACCAAGGGGACCCAGGTGGCTGCTTTAGGGCCACCTGGAGAGGAGGTGCCCGGGCCTCTGCCCCAAGTGGTGCCTGGCCCCCCACCGGCCGCCACCTTCCCTCTGCCCCCAGGACCAGTGCCTTCGGTGGCTGCTCCGCAAGTGGTGCCGCTGTCCCCACCCCCTGGGTATCCCGCGGGCCTGGGCCCCACCTCCCCACTGTTGAACCTGCCCCAGGTGGTGCCCACCTCACAGGTGGTCACCCTGCCACAGGCCGTGGGGCCCCTTCAGCTGCTGGCAGCTGGGCCCGGCAGCCCGGTGAAGGTGGCAGCTGCTGCGGGCCCTGCTAACGTGCACCTGATAAACTCCGGGGTGGGCGTGACTGCCCTGCAGTTGCCTTCAGCCGCTGCCCCAGGTACCTACCCCTTCTGCCTCCCTCTGGCCTGGGTGAGGGGTGGTTATCTCAGGGACGGAGGGTGCTAAGAGTGGGCTTGGGGAATAGCTCTGTCCCTGGTATGTTCCAGACTCCCCCACCCCCCCCCCGTGCCAGGTAGTGCAGAAGCCACCCAGACTTGGTCCTGTTCTGAAGGGGCTCAGTTTGCTTCTAAATAACCCCCTTCCTCCCGCCCTCTAGCAGCTTAGTCGCCACCTCTGCTCCTGGCCAGCTGTAACCCTGTGCCTCGCCGTCTCCTTTCCCCACAGGAAACTTCCTCCTGGCCAACCCCGTGTCCGGCAGCCCCATCGTGACAGGTGTGGCCGTGCAGCAGGGCAAGATCATCCTCACCGCCACCTTCCCCACCAGCATGCTGGTCTCCCAGGTCCTGCCGCCTGCCCCCAGCCTGGCGCTGCCCCTGAAGCCAGACGCGGCCATCTCGGTGCCTGAAGGGGCCCTCCCCGTGGCCCCCAGCCCCGCTCTCCCAGAGGCCCACGCTCTCGGCACACTTTCTTCGCAGCAGCTGCCACAGCCACCACCTGCCCCTGCCGCTACCATTGCTGCCAGCCTGCCCTTCTCCCCAGACTCCTCCTGCCTCCTGGCCGGCTTCCCAGCGCCGCCCCCGGAGGGCCTGTTGCTGTCACCCGCAGCCGTGCCCATCTGGCCATCGGGACTGGAACTGACCACGGGTTCAGAGGGGCTGCTGGAAGCAGAGAAGGGGCTGGGGACACAGGCCCCCCACACTGTGCTGAGGCTCCCAGACCCCGACCCTGAGGGGCTGCTCCTGGGGGCCACGGCAGGGGGCGAGGTGGACGAGGGGCTGGAAGCTGAGACCAAGGTCCTCACCCAGCTACAGTCCGTGCCTGTGGAAGAGCCCTTGGAACTGTGACCCTGCCAGGCCTCAGCGCCTCTCCCAACAGTGGTGCTCGAGAGCCCGGACAGCTGGGAGTAGGGAATCCTTCAGAAACAGCGGTCGAGCTGAAGATTCCCCGCACGCTACACCCCAACGCGGCTGCTTAAACTCTCCAAGGCCTGGATGTGCTGGGCGGGGGTCCCCCCCTGTCCACTCTCTGTCCAGGACACTGTCCCTCTGGATGGAAAGCCTCCTCGGTTACGGCCTTCTCCTTGCTCCGCCCCCATGTACGTGGGGAGCTCTGGGGGTCCTGACTCAGGAGCTCTGCCTGCCCCCCTCTGCCCCCCCCCCGGACCTGGTACGAGCTGTGAGCTGAAAACCTTGCCAAGTGGCTGGATTTCCAAACCCCCCAAGCCCTCTCCTTATCACTCCCTAAAACACTATTAATAGCTCCAGTGACATCCAGAGTTCTCAGAACTGCTTGGAATCCGAGGGTGCAGGGCAGGCAGGCAGTCCCATGCCCAGAGGCTGACAGAGCCCCCCACACACCCGCCGCCACTTCTGAAGCACCATGCAGGTGTGGGGAGGCCTGGGCGAGGGTCCCCCATTAGCACCCCTGGACGACAGCCCTCCTCCTCACGGCCAGCCCCAGACCAAAGATCCCCACACCCACGGGGCAACCTTGACCCCTGTGTGTCTAGTTTGTATCCTAAATCTTTATTTTTCTAGGACATGTTAAGCCTCCATTTCAATTAAAATAAAGTTAACAGAACTAAAACCTCCAGGAGTGTGGGTTATTTCCCAAAACAACTTGCCCAAATTAAAGCCGCCACACAAAGCTCAAGATGAGGTCCTGGCTTTCTGATTCCTGAGCCTTGGGGGGTGGGGGTGGGGTGGAAGTGGAAGGGAGGGTGCAGGTTTCTTTCCAACTGGGGCCCCCCAGATCCAGGGTAGAAGGAGCGCCCTTCTCCAGGGCTGAGGGGGCACGAGACCAGGGCAGCTTGGTAGTGTCCCTTGCTGGTAGCAAGGGTTCCACTTTATTTTGTTGGCAACAATAAATAACCTATAAATAGAACTGGAGGGAGGAGTAGGATAAGGTGAGAACGAACAGGGTTGAAACCATTTCATCCTGGGGCGGGCCAAGGCAGGTCAGCAGGTGGGGGTGGGGGAGCCCCTTCTCGGGAACTTCACCTCCCTGCATTTCACCCAGGGCCTCCTTCCCGGGGAGAAAGGAGCTGTGGAAGGGCGGGTTCAGCTGCCCACGTGAAAACAAACACACAAAACTTCGGAATCAGAAAACCCTCCGCCTGCCAGCCGGAGCGAACTGGCCAAGGGGACCTCGCCGGCGGGCGTGAGGCCCAGGAGGGGCAACAGCCTCTCCCCGCACGCTCCCGGTTTCCGTCCAGCCGCGGAGCTGCGAGGCGGCGGGGAGGCGAGGCGAGGCGCCCTCTCATTCGCGGTGCGAAGGCGGCTGAGCGGCGGGCGCCGAGGCGGAGCGGGCCCTGTCCGCCAGCAGCTGGTAGAAGGGCTTGGGCACCCCCCAGTCCTCGTCACCGCTGCTGGAGCTCTCTTTCTTCACGATCCGGTTGTGCTGGCGGCTGAATCTCCGCGCCTTGATGCTGCGGGGGGGAGGGAGGGCTCAGTGGGGTGTTGCTCTGTCCCCAGGGTGGCCGGGGCTCTATTTGGTCCCACAGGGCGGGCGAGCCTCGGGGCCTCCGAGTCCGGGTCTCTATGAGGGGAGGCCCTGTGCTCCTGTTAAACACTCGCGCACACAGAGGCGCGTTTCAGGGCCCAACGGAGAAACATGCGGGTGGAAGCTCCGACCTTGGCGAAGATGAGGGGCTTTGGGGAAGGAGGGGAGAGGGGGAGGAGGCCGAGCGGAAGGGGAGACCCGGTTTCCTGCCCCGAGAAACTCCGGTGGCAGAGAGGGCGAAAGAAACTTAGGGCAGTGGGGTCCAAATCCCAAATTAGGGTACTGTCCTTCTAGGTTCCAAAGTGGAGCACCTCTCCACCTCCGTCACCCCCAGGAATGTCACGACAGTTTGCGACACCCAAGTCTCCCACCCCAGTGAACTCCCGGCCTCCTCCCCATCGCAGGACGGCCAGGGCTCTGAAGACCAGAGCCCCGAGGAGCCGCAGGCCCTCTGCCCTGGGCCCAGCCGCCAGGCCTTCTCACCAGTAAGGTTTCCGCTCCTGCTCCGTCATCTCCCGCCAGAGCTGGGCCAGTTCTTTGGTGGCAGCCGTGGATGCCGTCCCCGGGCAGGCCCTGGGACAGGAGGGAGGAGGTAAGAAGAGGCCTGTGGGGCAGCCAAGGCCAACGGTCGGCCTGACCACACCAGCCGCCCTTGCCCTCTCAGAACCTCGGCTTTGCGTGTGAGCACTCAGCTCTTCCCCGCCGTGTTACCTGGTGCCCGTGTTACACCCCTGGGAGCTGGGGTGTCAACGAGGGGGCTGGACTAAATGGTTGTTGGGAAGGGGACAGCTGTGTCCCCGGACCTGTAGGGGTCCTGTGTCCCAATATCAGTTCCCGATCTTCCTGTAAGGGCGCTAGCCCTTGTCCGCTGTGGCCTGGGGGGCCTCCCGTCTCATCCCATCCCCTGGCCCCCAATGACGAAGTGCAGCGTTGGTCTCCTGACCTACCAAGTCGGCCCCAAGAACCTTTTCTTGAAACCTCAGACAGGAGGGGCTGTGCTCCCACAAGGTTCCTAGTGTGGGAGCCAGGACACAAGCCCGGGCCTCCCGGAGGTGGCCTTGCCCTGCCCGGGCCCCACGGGCCGGGGAACGCAGCGCACCTGGAACACAGCGGCACTGAGAGAGGGGCCAGGACTCCAGGCCGAGCCCTCGGGCCAGCCGCACCTGAACCCCATCCACCTCCCTTTTTCAGGTTGCATGAGCCAATTAATATCCTTTTTTTCTCAAGTCAGAGGAGGTTTCCCTGCTTCCAGTTGACAGGCCCTGACCAATGCCACGGCCCCAGGTGAGATCAGGGGCAGGGCATGGCTGCCGAAGGGGCCACCCACCGGATATACTGCTTCCGGTTCATCCTGCAGAACATGATGAAGCCGTTGACACACTTTTTCTTCGTCTGAGCGGAGCAGGGGGCTTTCTTGTTCTTGGGCTTCACGGGGCCCCTGCCTGCCTGGCCCTTTCGGGCCTTCCTCCTGGCCGAGGGCAAGGTCGCGACCTGGCAGCTGGGAGTCCAGGTGTAGTCTCCGTCCTCATCGCTCATGGACTTGGGGCCCTCGGGGTCGGCCGGAGTGTCCTGGGTGGGGAGCAGAGACATGAGCGTGGGCGGGGCGGGCGGGACCCACCTCGACGGCCCTGCGCCCTCACCTGCTGCACCCACGCCACCTCCGAGTCCGTGTCGGTGACCGAGTCCTGGGAGCTGGAGCTGTCCTCACTCAGCGACGGGTGGTCCTGCGGCCCCACGCACTGGCACAGGCCGAGGGAGTCAGGAAGGCCCTGGGAGGCGAAGGAGACAGATGGAGGGGACGTGAGCAGAGCCGGTGGTGCCCTTCTGGCCCCCACGCTCGGCTTTCCTAGGACAGGAGCGTGAGAAGCAGCTCAGATTCAAGACAACCTCCTCCGAACACCCCTTGGATATCCAAACCGATGTTCCTGAGTTCCCGCAGGTGTCCGAGGGGGCTCTCTGTGTGGCTCGGGTCTCCTGCCTCCTGCTCTGGGGCCGTATCTCTCACAGCCTTGGAGCCGGGCAAGTCCTTACTTCCTGAAGCGTCTACAGAGCAGTAGACAGACTTACAGGGTGAGCCCCGTGCCCGGCGCTCACAGAGGGCCCCGCTCAGGGGGGGGCGTCTATTTTTCTTTCTTTGTTTTATTGTTGGCACTGCTGCAGACGTACCCATTTTCCCTACCTTTGCCCCCCTCCTCCCAGCCCCTGATTTCTTTTCCCTCAAGGGTATGTTTTTGTTCCTACTGCCCATTCAACTACTCACTGAGACAGAGCCCCCGGCCCCGCCCACTGGAGGGAGAAGGGCTTGGGGACCAGGGCGGGGCTGCCCCGCCGTCCAATGGACAGATGGTGGCTACAGAGGTGAGCCCTTCGGAGGCCCGGGAGGCGGGTCTTTCCAACCGAGGATTCCCGGGGTTGCTCTGCTGCTTTCTGTCCAGTGAGACCCCGTCTCAGAGCAGTTATAAAATTACATGGGGGTCTTTCATAGGCGCCTAGCAGCTTTTTAGCGCTCCTCCTTAGTGTCTAGTTCATTCCAAGTGCCCGGCACAGAGTGAGCCCCTGGTGGCCAGCGGTGGCCATCCAAAGGGTGAGCAGATGAACCTCTGGCAAAGCCCAGGGGTTGGAGGAGGGAACCGGGCGGGTGAGTGGTACGTATGGAGAGACAGGGGACTGTGTCCGGGGGGAGATGGGTGGGTGGGGAGATGCCTACCTCCTTCTGCGGAACCTGCAGCACGCAGTCAGAAGGTGAAGACACAGCATCTAAGAAAATTTCTTCAAAGAGAGCTGTCAGGGAGGGAGGCCAGAGGGTTTTTGTCGGAACCTCAGAAACGAGGGCCTGCGCTCACCCCGGGATGGAAATGCCTCCCTCAAGGCACCAGGCCTCTGTCCCGCCAGCCCGCTGGCTGGGTGCCACTCTCCAGGTTTCTGATCACCTGCCCCATGTCCAAATTAGCTCGCTCCCAGGCCGGCTCCCCTGGGCCACCTCCAACCTGGGCAGAGCTAGAGGGTCCCCACAGCAGGCTCCAGGAGCCTGCCTCCCCCCTCCCCACCTGGGGCCACTCCCCGCCTCGGCTGCAGGCTCTTTGCAGCAGGACCTGGATGGGACTCATCCCCGGTGCCCAGCTCCGCCCAGCACAGGGCTGCGCACCGGGCGGGCGTTGCCTTGTGTTTTCTGTCTGCCGCGCGTGCTCACCTTGGGTCAGGTAGAGGCTGCTGTCCTCCAGGGTCTCTGCCGGCAGCGCTTTTCCCGGGGAGCTGAAGAGGGAGGGACTGAGGCCTAGGATCTCGCTCAGGGGGCCCGTCACACTCTGGGTGTCAGTCTGAGGCGGCCCCAAAGCCAGCGGGCTCCCTGAAAAGAAAACATCAGGGTTGGGGCGGGGCGTGGCCTCTCCCCCAACTGGCGTTTGGGAGACGATGCCAGACACTGAGGAAAGACGCGACTGCTCATCGTGAGGGCTTGGTAGACATGACGAGGCACAAGGCCTGGCGTTATGTCAGGAATGGCAAAAAAAAAAAAAAAAAGCCAGTATCAGACTGAGCCAGATCCGCTAGACTGATTGTAGGTCACTGGAGCTCTGTGTTAATGATTCTGGCCCCGGTTCAGGTAGTTCGGTGCCTTGAGCACAGGCCTGCGAACCAAATGGTCGCAGGTTGGATTCCCAGGCAGGGCACATGCCTGGGTTGCAGGAGAGGCATCCGATCCATGCTTCTCTCCCTCCCTTTCTCCCTCTCTACCCGCCCCCCCCCCCGCTAAAAAATTAATTAATTAAATCCTAGAACAAAAAAGGAATGATATTCTGAGGTAGTGTCTGGGATCACCGGGATCGCCGGAGACAGTGGTGCTGGATTAGTCATGTCTGCCGTGGCAACAGACGGCTGGTGCCGTGTGTCTGCCATCCTGTGCTTAGCAGGTGGCCACGCCCTTTCCCGCTTTCCCCGCTTCCACTGAAACCCTGGAAGGTACCCGGAAGCCCCCACAGCAGCCTACAAAGTGCAGAGACAGAGTTTCAGTCACCTAGGGGGGTGCCCTCTGGGGTCCAGGCAGGAAGCCAAGGGTCAGCGCCTGCGGTCTCCTTGTCCACCTCCTCGCTGGACTCGTAGAAGGCCAGCTTCTGCCTGCAAGAGGTGGAATTCCCTGGGTGAGCTGCCCCACCAGGGCGGGGCTTCAGAGCAGAAAGCTTATCGGTTTGCGCTGCGGCCCTCACAGAGCCTCAAGGTTTGTGGGGACAGGCGCTGTCCTCGGGCACCGACAACATGGGGGTTCGGGGGGTCTGAGAGGTGGGCAGGGCAGCAGGGAGGATGGCGCTGAGCTGGGCCTGAAGGAGGGAGCAGACTTGCTGGGAAGAGGGATCCGAGGCGGGGAAGCCCAGAGCGGGTTCCTGTGGGTAGTGGGGAATATTTCGAGGTGTTCAGGACAAGATTCACGGGTGAGGGGCAGGAGAGGGTGAGGGACAGTGAGGTAAAGCCAGAGTAGTTTTCAATGCCGGTGGAGACACCAGGGCTCTGAGGGAGGGCTTTAAGCCACGAACTCACATGGTCAAGGTTTGTGTGACCAGTAAGAACGGCTTGGAAGGGGGAGATGGGAGGCGGGGAGGCCCGAGAGGCGCTGTGGCCCGTCTTTCCTTCAAGCTCACGACGCCTGCAGGAAGCCGGGCCCACAGCATTGCGTGCTCCGCAGACACGGGCCGTGGGTGTTCATTCGCCTTGTTTCTTACCACCCCTCAGCCATTCTAGACCAAACACCTTGACTCACAGCCTTGGGGTCCCCTTACCTGAGATACGACTGTGTTCCGTTGACCAAATAGGTCCTCTCGGCCCCTTGCTGGGCCCCGGAGGCAGAGTAGGGCCCATCATCCTGGGCGCTGTTTTTGCAGGAGCGGCCTAGGGAGGCAGTTCGGGGCGATCACTCCTGTGACCGGCACACAGTGTGGACGCACAGAGGCGGGGATGAAGGGGTGCCAGGGTCTGCCACAGCCTCTCGCCCCTGCCCCACCCCGGCCAACCCCTCCGGCTCTGGGACCCCTGCGAGAGGCTCAGGGGCAACCCAAATTACCACTGGGTTTCTGGAATCCCACTCCTTTATCAGAAGCTGTAAGGAAGACAAAACCCTGAAGTGGAATCATGTTGATGGAAATAGCAAACAAGTATGAAGAGTTTCCCGGGGCCAGCGCGTACTATTTGAGCATTTGACACGCTACTCAGTGATCCTCTCTGATGGAGCGCCATCATTACCCCCATTTTCCAGTTCAGTAAACTGAGGCGTTGAGCTATTAAGTAACTTGTCCAAAGTCACGCAACTAGCAGGGCTGGGAAGCCCTCCCTCCCCGGGTGGCTCAGGCACCTCCTCTGGGTCCCCAAGACTTTCTGGGGACTGAATGCCCCAAAAGCCTGATCGCTCTGGACTCCTTCACTGGACTGTGTCCCCCGGCAGCCGGCACGTGGCCTGGCAGAGAGGCAGCGCCCAGGGCGTAAGGGTGGAGTGAACAGAGGGACGGGGTAGGACGGCTCCAGGCCCTGTCGTCCAGTCGCCCACTCTGTCACCTGGCTCTCTGCCGAGGGAGCCCTGGCAGCTCTTGAACCCGGTGCAGAGACAGGGAGTCCCCCGGGCGGCCGTCTGGCTGCATCGAGTGACGTTTCCTGAGAAGGCCCTGCTCTTACCCCCAGTGCCGCCACCTGCAGCTCTCACACGAGGGCAGCACTGACCCTGACCCTGACCTGACCCGGCCTACACCCATGGCAGACCCTAAAGGGAAGAGACACTGGGAGAGAGGCCACGGCCGTGCGATGTGAGAGACCGTATCCCTCCTGTGCTTCCTTGAGGCTCCAGTACCAGCCACTAGGACTGTGCCCGGCTGTTGCGGATGCCCAGCAAGTGGCGAATAAACGGCTGGCGGAGTTCATGGTGAGGAAACACCAAGGGGAGACGTCCCCGGAGACCCCGTCCTTAGCCGCAGCCAGCAGTGCCAGCCAGGATCTGCTTCCGTCTCTGTCACCTTGAGGCCAGGACAAGGCAGCCTCGGGGCGCGTGTAGGAGTCAGCGCATCTTGGAGGAGCAGCCGTCCCCTCCGTGTTTCCTCCCTTCTGGTCTGCGGGTGCGGCCACCTGCTTCTTGGGCTTGTCCAGGGCCAGACAGCGACGAGGGTTCTGGGTCCGGGTCTGGCGTTCTGGGACAACAGAGAGACGGCATTAGATGGGGCTGGGGCCTGAGCGTCACCAGGGCTCAGGTGGCGGTCTCCTTTGCTCTGGGCCCAACCGCCTGTTTCAAAGCTGTGCCTGGCCTGGCCATTCATGGACTTCGCAGCCAAGCCAAGGTCCTCAGTCAGACAGCACCTCGTCCGACGCTGCCCTTCCCTGCCTCCAGTTAGAACAGCCTTGCAAGCTCTGAAAAATACTGGCGCCCCAGACCAGGGAAACCCGACGTTCTGGGTGCGAGCCTCGGGCATAGGCATTTTTTAAAGCGCCCTGGATGGCTGGGGTGTGCGGCCAGGGCTGGACATCACTGATTAGGTCCAACTCCCACTTTAAAGACGTGGAAACTGAGGCCCACAAAAGGGAAGGGATACGTAGGGGAGTTACAGCCCTGGACGCGGGCCTCCCACAACTGGGTCTTTTCTCCCTGATGGCCTGGCCCAGGGACAGGCCCCCGGCCCCGGAGGCCACACATGCTGATGGCAGCTTCCCTGCGCTGGGCGCGGACCACACGCCTCTCCTCTCGTGCATTGCTCGAGTGGGGTGTTCCCAGGCTTCTGACCCCTAAGACCCCCCCTGTGGCAGGTACTGCAATTTCCAGATGAGGAAGAGGAGGCTCAGAGGACAGTGACCACCCCGGGTCTTAGAGCTAATAGAGGAGGAGCCAGAAATTGAACCCAGGCACGCCGGCCTCTGAAGCCTCGCCAGGGGTTCAGGGTTGCTGACTTGGCCTCCTGGGAGTGTGGCGGCCCTGGGGAAGGAGCCCCGCTTCCATCTGGCCCCCACTTCCGGTCCTGCCTCCCCTGACACCTTGTACCTGCGGCTCGGGTCAGCTTCTTCTTCCGAGGTTTCTGACAGGCTCCCCTGACACAGCACTTACAAGAGTGTGGGGGGCTGGATGGGGTGCGGTGTCTGCGCCTCCCCGAGCCCGCGGTGGGGTTCCGACCCCGCCCTGCACGGGACGGAGAAGGAGACCGAGACCGGGTCAGAGGCCCTCGCCCCCATCCCCAGCCCTCCGTTCAGGACAGCCCCTCCCAACGGTGGCAGGGGTGGGAACGGCCTGCCACCGTCCCCAGGCTGACCTTACAAAGGTCGGAACTGGCGTCCCAAACGGAGACCAAAACTCTATGAGGTTCCGCAGTCAGGTGGCAAAAGGACTGGCAAACACTGGGGTTTCCCTGGGGCCATTCTGGGTCTTAGCCCAGAGAGAAGATGGACTCGGTGCTCCCCAAATGTACCCCCATACTCTGCACCCTGAGCCAGTCTTTCAAGACAGTGAGGGCTCTGCTCCGGCCCTGAGTCGCCCGGGGCCTCTCCCTCAGGCCCCTCAGTTCTCTCTCTCTAATGTCTCCCAGATGTTCCCGCTCTGTCCATACTCGGCTACGGGCCCGAATCACCCCTAAAAGTATCTCCACTGATCTCCCAGACTCCGGTTTCTCTCTTAATAACTGCCCTTCCACCCTAGATGTTAGAGAACTCTTTCTTTAAAAAAAAAAGAAGATCGATGGCTTGGCCCCGCCTGGAAGTCCTTCGTGGTTCTCACTTCATCTCCCTCCTCAGCCGGCACGCGAAGCCCCTCAGGGTCTCGCCTCTGCCCCAGCCGCCCCCCTTTCCGGCCTGTGTGTTTTTACGCCAGTAACGGCAGCACCCAGCACTTGCAGTACCGGGGAGACGGGCCCGAGTATCGGTCCCGTTTTGCAGACGAGGAAAGCGAAGCTCAGAGAGGGTCAGGTACCCAGACAAGTATCTGAGGACCTGGCTCACTGAGTGAGAGCCTGTGCACGTCATCTCCACGCTACATGGTCCCGGTGGCCACACCCTCCGCTTGCCTGTCCCCACACAGTCCACACGTGTCTTCTCCTGCCTGCACGCTCTCATCCGGGTTGTTTTACTTGCCAGGGCTCCTCCTTCTATTATCCCCAAAGGCCTCACTCCGAGACCCCTACCCCCTCCATCTTCCCAGACACCCTCCTCCGACTTGGACCGCTAAGTCTCGGAGGGTCCCTGACCAAAGGTCAATACTTAGAGGGGGCCCTGGGCAGTGCTGGCGGAACTCACTCACCCTCGACTTCGCCCTCCCCGTTGGCGGCGTGGAAGGTTAGCAGGGCCTGGGCCACATCGATGTTTCTCTGCAGGTGCTGGATGTAGTGCAGGACATGCAGCAGAATCTCCTTCTGCCCGCAAAGCAAAGGCCGGTCACGCACGGAAGTGGCGTGCACCGGGGCCAGGAGGGGCACTGCGCACCGGAGACAGGACGGCTCCGGGGCCCCGTCCCCCACCCCGGCGACCCCTCCACTGACGGACACGTTCCTGCGTCACCGTTTGGTTCTCACCGCGGCCCAGTGAGGCCAAGGAAACTGAGGCTCAGGGTGTGATGGGATTGCCAAGGTTACAGAGGGGAAGTGGCTGAGCCGTGCTCTACACCCACGTCAGCATCCGTCCTGGTCCACTTTCTCAGCATGTGCTGTTCAGCTTCCCACCCCCGGCCCTTTGCACATGCTGTGTTCTCCATCCGCAGTCTTCCTCTTCTTCCCACACGCTCCCTCACCTGGCATCTCCTTGGAACTTCAGCACAGTCTTCCCCCTTCCAGAAGCTTCCCTCCGTCCTGACCCCTCTCGCCCAGGCTGGGTCAGATGCCCCTCCTAGGCACTGCCGTAACACCCCAGGCCGGACTCCACCAAGGCACGCGACACACTGTTTTATAATGGTCTGTCTATACATAGTTCTCTCCTGCTGACCGTGGACTAGCTGAGGGTAGAGACGGTGGCTACTGGATTTCTGTGTCCCGAGCACACAGCATGGAGAGCCGCCTTAGCCAGTGACTGCTGGAGGTGCAGATCTTCCCCACAGCGCCAAGCGCGCAGCACCCGTCCAGCCACTAAATACCGACCGAGTTGGGAGCAGCTAAATAAGACGACTACCTACTCAGGGCCGGGTGTGTAGGGGTGACCTAGAAATACTGTGTTTTTTTTAATATACTTTCGTTTGCCTTTATGGAACTTACAATCTAGTGAGGGCAGCGGACCTTAACAAACTCATACATCAAACAAAGTTACTGGCTGTGTGATAAGTATACGAGTCAGAGAGAATAATAACACAGGATTCTGCAGTCACGGGTAGATGTCTGGAGAGGCCCCCTGGAAGCGGCGGCATTTACACGGAGACCTGAAGAATGAAAGGAGTTAGCCCGGTGCAGACGTGAGGGAAGAACACCAAGGAGGATTTTGGGGGATCCTGCTGGAACCCTGGAATAACAAGAAAACTGTTAGCAGTCAGAGTCCAAATCAGGGAATGTGGTCCCTCAAGGGGACTTACGTGAAACTGTCCCATACACTATAATACAGACGGTCACTGAAATGATTTGACCTGTGCCATGAGCGGCAGCTTCGACCTCACCATGGAGTACATGCGACAGAGACAAGACACGCTTCTTTGAGAAGCACCTGGATCCAATCTGCCCCTCACTGGCTGTGTACTGGGAGCAGGTGGTTCCACGTCTCTGAGCCTCGGTTTTCCCATCCGTGCAATGGGAATGAGGTCCTCATCCAGGCTCAGAGGATTATCGTTAGGAGTCACAAAGCAGAGGGTGTGAAATCGCCCATTGCAGAACCTGATACATCAGGTGCCTAAACGTGCTTCGCGGACGACAGTGGGAACACCTCCAGGTTCTCAAGGGACTGACTTTTTATATCCAGACCACGTTTTTTCCCAGTGTTATTTTTAAATATTTATTTCTTTTTAGAGAGAGGGGACAGGAGGGAGAGAGGGAGAGAAACAGGATGTGTGATCGGTTGCCTCTCTTGCGCCCCCTACTGGGGACCTCACTGGCAACCCAGGCAAGTGCCCTGACTGGGAATCGAACTGGCAACCCTTAGGTCCCCAGGATAGTGATCAATCCACGGACGCACAGGAACAAGGGTGTGATACGGTGTGTTTAGTTTAATATCTCCACCACCAGGCTTGGCACGTGGTAGGCACTCACTAAGCTGACGTCTCTGTAAACTATAAAGTAATATAAAATGTTATTTATTATAGCTAGGGTAAAGGTTTTATGCAGGAGGCAACCGGGCCTGATCTGAGATTTCAGGACAGAAGGTTCAGTAACTGAAACTTCAGGAAGGTTAGCTTGGGGGCTGCACCAAAGTTTCAAATACCAGCGATCGTCCAAGGGTCAGATGGACAAGTCTTGCAACTTCCCCGACAGAGAACATTCATTCATTCATTCATTCATTCGACACACGCCTCCTGAGCACTGAATGACAGAGCGGTTGAGGGCACAGGCCTGTGGAAAGAGACATCTGACTCTCTCTGCCATAAGCTGGCCATGTCCCTGGCCAATATGACCTTCGATGCTTCAGTTTTCTCAAACCAAAAAAAGGAACATCTGCACCTCAAAAACCTTGTGGGGAGGAGTAAATGACAAACTGTCTATAAACCGCTTGGCACCTCCAGCTCCCCGTCCCTTGGGAGCAACTGTTACTATTCTCTGCTCAGTGCTCGGCCCTGTGGGCACCGGGGATAAGGCTTTATCGGTTACCGTCTGTGCCAGCTCAGACCTCTTCACCTCACGGGGTCAGAGGTCAGAAAGCAGTTGCAGTGACATGCTGAAGGCTTTGGTGGTCAGAGGGAGAGGAAGCTGCCGCACCACAGGGGGCAGGGGGCACTTCGTCAGCCAGGGTGGTGAGCGGGATGCCACAGTCTAAGCCGTGTCCCGTCCCAAACGCGGGAGAGGCCGCAGGTAACAGCGCCGCCTGCCCGTAGCTTCACTGGGTGACGGACGGCGCAGGCCCCAGAGCCCCGAGGGGCTGCGACGATGCACTTCAGGCCGACGGGTCTAGTGGGGGTTGGGGGCTGATGGGAACTCAGGTTGTACGTGGCACAGAGGGTCCGGGACTGAACTAAGGGAGGGTGAAGGCGGGAAAGGAGGGGGATCCTTAAGACAGTGGAGAACCAGTGGTAAAATGAGTAGGCCGAGGCCTGGGCAGAATTTCACGAGGAGACGTGGTCATCTGGTCAGTGATAAAACTGTGCCTGACCCTGACCAGAATGTCATTCCTCCAGAGCAGGGACTGTGTCCTGGACATCTCTGCTCTCCCTGCCAAGAGCTTGTGGCAGCACCTCCGTACACCAAACACTCAAATGTCTGAGGACAGAGCACAAGATGCCTCAAATATTTTGGAGCACTGGGTGGTCTGTGTTATGCTACTCCCCCAAAATGTCTATGTCCCAGTCCCCGGATCCTATGATTACGATGCCTTATAAGACAAAGGGGAGCCCTGGCTGGTGTGGCTCCGTGGACTGAGCACTGGCCTGCGAACCAAAGGGTCACCAGTTCGATTCCCAGTCAGGGCCCATGGCTGGGAGGTGGGCCAGGTCCCCTGTAGGGGTCACACAAGAGGCAACCACACATTGATGTTTCTCTCCCTCTCTTTCTCCCTCCCTTCCCCTCTAAAAATAAATCAATAAAATATTTTTAAAATAAGACAAAGGGGACTTTGCAAACGTGACTGATGTGAATCAATAAGGATCCTCGGAGGGGGGATTGCTCTGGATTATCGGAGTGGGCCCGACGGCATCACCAGGGTCCCTTACAAGCGGGAGGCAGGAAGGGCAAAGGCAGAGAAGGCGAAGTGACAGTGGAAGCAGAGAGAGAAGGCGAGATCTGAAAATGCCACACTTCTGGCTTTGAAGGGGCCGTGAGCCGAGGGACACGGGTGACCTGCAGGAGCTGGCCCAGGAAACGGAAACAGACTCTCCCCTGGAGCCTCCCAGGAGAAGCAGCTCTGCTGACACCCGGACTTTAGACCAGTAACACTAACTGGGGAGTTCTGACCTCCAGAACAGTCGGAGAATAGATTTATGGTGTTTTAAACCACTGAAGTGGCGGTAATTTGTGACAGTAGCAACAAGAAACTGTTATAAGCACTTATGATTAAGAGATATTTAGGGAGGCCCTGGCTTGGTGTGGCTCAGTGGATTGAGCGTGGCCTGTGAACCAAAGGGTCGTGGGTTCGATTCCCAGTCAGGGCACATGTCTGGGTTGTGGGCTGGGTCCCCCGTGGAGGGCGCTGGAGAGGCAACCACACACTGAGGTTTCTCTCCCTCTCTTTCTCCCTCCCCTCCCCTCTCCAAAAACTAAATAAATAATAATAATCTTTAAAAATTAAAACAATTATTTGGGGGGGGCGTTTCAACCGGACTGGGGGTTGATGGAATGCACCGCACAGGGAGAAGGTCAGGGTTAAGGTCAGGGTTAAGGTCTGGCAAATCCCGGAACACCTGCTCCCATGAACCTCTCTGGAGGCGAGTGGCACATCCCAGCTGGGATGGGTAGGTCCTGTGCTCAAATCTCTATCTTCCTGACCAGATTCTGAGCTCCCAGAGGATGAGGACTGGGTCTCGAACTCCTTTGCTTCCCCTTGTTACAATCATAAAAGCTCTGACACCCAACAATCTTTCCATACCTGGCTGATGAAAGAATAAGTGAATGACTGAATGGGAGAGACTATACAGAAAGAAAACACCATGCCAAGCCTGCAGGATCTCCAAGTCTCGCGTTAAGTTGTCCCAAGTGGGGGTGAGATATTAGCTCGGCACGTTTATGGAGTAGCCAGTGGGGACGTGCAGGTCACTTTCTTTCTTTTTTTTTTTAAAGATTTTATTTATTTATCTTTTTTTAAAGATTTTATTTATTTATCTTTAGAGGGGAAGGGAAGGAGAGAGGGAGAGAAACATCAATGTATGGTTGTCTCTTGTGAGTCCCCTGATGGGAACTGGCCTGCAACCCAGGCATGTGCCCTGACTGGGAATCGAACCCCAATTGTGTGGTTCGCAGGCCCGCGCTCAATCCACTGAGCTACACCAGCCGGGGCCAGAGACACTTTCTTTATCTGCATCTACATCGTGGAGGTGACACCCACAGGTCACAAAACAGGGGGGGAAGTGAAATTTATTCAGGGCCTGCCACGGCTATGGTGTCATTTTGGCTTCACCACGACTCTCAGCAGGAGGCGTTATCTTTACTCATTTACAGCTGAGAAACCCGAAGCTTGAGAGGCTGGTTCACTGGAGTGACCTGCCCAGGATTCTGCAGTTGTGAAGCCCGGGGGCTCGAACCCATGGCTGGTGGACTCCCAGAGCAGTGACCTTAGCCTGGCTCCTTGCCTATTTTTCTCTGCCTCCTTTTCAGAACGCCGCAGTCTCGGGGTCACGGACTCCCGGGAATTCCCGTCCAGAGCGGGACCCTGCCCGCCGTGGTGCTGTTCCGGGAAGGGTCTGTCCCTGTTTCTTCGGACCAGGGAAATGAACCTGCTTACTGACATTTTAACATCCACCTCCCAAATCTACCTCCAGTCTTTCAGTCCACGTACCTTGGTGAGCTTCTTGCTACTGGTCCTCGGGGCCACAGGTAGCAGCAATGCCAACTCATGGAGTTTGCTGGTGTGGTTTTTCTTTTGCTTCCTGTTTGGGGACAAGAACTGATTTTGATGACGACATCCAAATGGAATTTGGCATCTGTCTCATTGTTCCCCATCTCAGGGACCACAGCCCTGGCACCCAAGACAAAGTCCTGGACATCACCTGGACAGTATCCCTTATCCTCCTGTCTAATCGGTCACCAAATCTTGCCCATTCCTTGTCTGGTCCCTTCCCTCCACCACCCCTGCTTTCAGCCATTTACTGACATCCCCATCTCCAGCTTCCCACCTGGCCTCTTCCCATCCCTCCTCTGTACTAGAATCTTTCTGAAACACGAACCTGAGCAGTTTGCTCATCCATGCAGTGGAAATGAGGACATTCACTCAGGCTCAGGGGGTTATCAATAGGGTTAAATAAATTAGAGTGTGTGAAATCGCCCAGCACAGAACCTGGTCTACTAGGTGCCTAATAAGTACTTCAACCTCTCCATGCCGTCCCATTAAGGATGGAGTTTAAATCCTCACTGTGGTTTGCAATGCCCCTCATGGCTTGGCCCAGCTGACCCTTCTCTCACTTCCTTTGGTTCTCTCCCACTGTCTGACCCTAACTGCACAGGCCAGGTGAGGCACCTGGGCTGTGGTCCCCCAACCCCCATGTTCATGAACTTCTCTGCTCCCTGTCCTGGGCTGAAAGCTGGGTTGTGGGGTAGGGGCTCTACTCTATCTCTAGCACCTAGAACAGGCTCTGGTGCATTGCAGGAACTCAGTGCCTGTTTGCTAAATGAATGAATGAAAAAAGGGCAGGAGAGTAGTTGACTCCTGGGCAGATGAGGAATTTCTGGGATCTAATGTTGAGGGCGGAGCATTAGACCAAGCACTGGGCTCCTCTAAGCACAGGACCCTGTGACGACATAGGTCACCTGCCCATAAAGTTGATCTTGATGGGGACACAGGCGAGGTATTCCTTGGTGTTATGGAAGCTTGTAATAGGTGACCTCATCAATGAGGTTTTCCCTGAGGAAGTAAACATGGGCAGAATCTGTTCTGAAGGATTAGTGGAAAGGTATAGGTGAGGAGTGAAAGAGAACATTTCAGATAGAGGGAGCAGGTGGAAAGGCCCTGGGGCACAAGGTGGAGAATTCAAAAGAAATAAAGCTGGAGTGTTTACCGCACAGAAAGCAGGGAGCCCTGTAGGGTTAGACAAGACTGGGGAAGGACATAGGGGCCAGGAGAGGCAGGGGCTTGCGGGCTCAAGGCACAAAGGACTTTTGCCTTTATCCTAAGACCGATGGGAAGCCGTTAAAGGGCTTTACACAGGGGATGTGCTATGAATACATAAAACTCCACATATTAGTTGATGGAATGAAGGAATGAAAGAAAAAATCACTAACTGGTCTCTGGCTACATCCTGGTAGACACCGTAACTTTGAGGGGCAAGGGTGTCGGGGTTCTACCCTTGGGGAAAAACAGGGTAGGCTGACCTCGAAAGTCCTGCCCAGCCCTGATACTTGTATTTTGCATACCACATTTCTTCTGTTCTGAAGGCGTCCCTGGGAGCCCCAACGAGAACCAGCACAGAAAGCAAGGAAGAAAATGCGCCAGGGCCTAGGCATTATTTGGCCCCATCTGAGAAAAGGGGTTTCACACCACCTGTAGCCCCCAGGTGTACGCTCTGGGTTTTGCATAGCAACTAGAGAGCCTCCTGTGCAACTTTTTCTCCCTCCAGAAAAAAAAAGAGTTTGGAGGGAACAAAAGGATGACTAAGAATGACAAATCCTGGCATTTCCTGGTCGCTGGTCCTGAATAGGTACGACCTGGGCTGTGCTCACAGGGGACTCTGGGAGCCACACACTCCTGCCCTTTTCCTTGCTGGGCGGTTCTGGGTTTAGCCAAGTTCTTTCCTCATCGTCTCTACTCTGCCCTCTGGGTCTGCAGGGAACTGGTCCAGCCACGTGGATCCTTTTTCTGTTTTTTTTTTCCTTAAAGTGGCAAGATGATTTCTGCCTCAGGGTCTTACTCTTCCCTCCACCTGAAATGCTCCTTTGCCCTGATGTTTGCATGGCTGGTTTCGTTTTCCTCATTCACTGATGATCTTAAATGGAACCTCTTCAGAGGGGCCCTTTCTGATGACTCAGTCGAAAGAAGCACATTTTTTGGTCCCATGCCATATCATTTATCAGCATCCGAAATCTTATTTATTATAAACTCCATAAGGAGAAATTGCTAATATCCCAAGCTGACTTATGCATTAGGCATAGTAAGTATGGTGCTTAGCACCTGTGATACCTTTAGGAACTCATAAAAATGTTCTAGTATTTTTAAAATCAGAAGAAGAAAGTGGATATCATCCTACTGGGATTATATTTGTCTTCATACCAATGTTGTCGTTAACTATAATTTTAATATGTTTTTAATGGAGGAAGGGGCCCAAGAAGGCCTACAGCCTATGAAAGTCATAACATGGCCCCGGCTATATCCGTAGCTCCTAGAATAATGCCTGGCACGTAGTAGGTGCTCAATAAAAAAATTGTTGACTTAACAACTACTCCTGTCTTGTGATGGCCTCTTAGGCTTTGAAATGACAAATGACTCCAATTCCTAGGTTTCTTCTTCTTTGAGCTACTAATCAGCCTACACACTCCCTGGTTCTTTTATTTCATGGAGGCCGAGAGGAGCCTGAACCAAGAGCCAGTCCAAATTTTTCATACAAGGTATGAGAAAAACAAGGCCTGGTCCCTAATTTGCTCTAATATACACAGAAACTTAAGAGTTTGAGCTGCCCCAAAGTGGAACAAACCAGGGAGTAATCCCAAGAGGCAGCATAATACCTGGCTGGAAGCCCCAGCTTTTAAGGCAGACGGACCTAGATGGAAATCCCACCTCCACCACTAGCTGTGTGCCTTTGACAACTGCCTTCATCTCTCTGACCCTGTTTTTAACTCAAATGCAGGTGGCCAGGAAGATTGACCTTGTCAGAAAGGTGTTTAACATATACCTGGAACACACGGAGTCCTCACAAAATATTGGTTCAACACAGAAGGAGACAGTCATTTGTCAGAATGACTTAGGGATAAGGAATATTAGAGAATGGGGTGGAGCTATTTATTGTGTGACTACGATTGATGAAACTGTTGTTTTGGGTTGACCAACATCCGATCCCCCTTTTTCTGGTAGTAGTTTTCCTTGGTGAACCACCCCTCCCCCGCTCCCAGTCCCTGTGGTTCAGAGAAGCTAATATCAACCTCCTCTTCCACTAGGGAGCACAGAAGCAAGAAGTCACACCGATTGGTTTAGGAGTGGGGTCGTAACCCAGGTCCAGCCAATCAGAGTCAATGGATTCTGGAATGAGGCTCAGTGCTGGGGTTGTCAAGTTAACAAGACAGGATTTGGAGCTGCTGGCCACCTTGCCCTTGCAAAGGGAGAACCTGCTTGAGAAAGAAGCCAGTAGGGCCATAGCTGAGCTGGGAAAGGTGGTTTCATGGCAACACAATTTAACCCCCACCCGAAACCAGCCAAGCCTGATGCCCCTGAATTTTTTGTTTAAAGAATCCAATAAATCCCCTCTTAGGCTTAAGCTAGTTTCAGCTAGGTTCTTGTTTCTTGCAACTAAGAGTCTTTCTTCATATAAGGATCTCATATCTAGAAGGCAGAAAAAGAGAACGTGTTGCTGGTCACCTCTGGGATTCCAGAAGGAATGGGCAGCAGGGCAGGCATTCTTCACCTTCTTCATAGTGCTCCTCCCGGGCACAGCACCTGAGTAGAGAATTTGAACAAAGCAGACACTTATGTTGGGGGTTAATGAATGAATGAAGAAATGAATGAACAGAAAGTCACTGGCGCAGATGGGGTGGGGAAGGCAGTAGGGATAAGATGACCTTTGGCTATTTCTTTCTTTATCTTGACATTAGAGTGAGAGAGAAAACATCCAACCCTCCCTCCGCTGTGAGAATCTCCTCTATAAGACTCCTGACACTTGCTAGGTGTTTGATGGATGAATGAATCCGTGAATAAAAGAGAAGGCAGGGAGAGCAACTAAGACACGCAGAACGCCAAAGCCTGCAAGGGCTCAGGGATGATCTTTGCCAACCACCTCAGACTTCTCTCATCTTGACAGTGGTGGTTATACTGTATTCCTTGTGGAGTCGTTGTTAGGATTAAAGCATCCCATGCAAACAAAAGGCTTAGCAAAGAGTCTGGCAAAAAAAAAAATGCTCAGGAAACATTATTATTATTATTATTATTCCACCAGAATGGCTGGAGCTATATGGAAGATTGGGGGTGGGGGGTGCTTACCTGTCACTGGAACGCAGGGAGCTGGCTTTGGGGCGTTCTGAGGAACACAAACATCTGCTGGAACCCCACATCTGCAAAGGAAGAAAAAGGAAGACATCAGGGACCCTTGGGACCCCAGGAGAAATGGGCAGCTTGACGGGCAGCCTTCATTTTCCCAGGGGTGCTCCTCTGAGCCCTAGAGGTCCCAAAATGGAGTCCCCAAGCCCCACAAATAAGGGCCCAGAGACCAAATCAAAACCCTCAAAACTCGACATTGAATCCCGCATGGTAAATTTGGGGTCTCTACATCACGATTCAGAGCTAAAACAAAAGAGCAAACTCCCAAACTTTGATTTCAGAATTTCAGTCTCAACAGGGAGATGTCACGCCCTGAAACAGACCAGGCTGAACACTGAGGCCTAAGCCCTTCAAACTGAGATATTAGGACACTGAGACTGTGGCTTAAATTCCCCAAGGAAGGAGCCAGAACCCAAAACGCAGCCCTTCCAAACCTCAAAACCCTAAACTCTGATACTGAGATACCATAGACCCCTCAACTGTCAATTTCTGATCCCCAAATGTCACCCTAGTCCTATTAAGATAACAGACCACAAACCTTAACACAGAGAACCCAAATCCTAAAGAAATCTCAGCCCTCAAAAGCAAACCTCAGCAACCCCAAAGTGACCTCAGAGCCTCAAATAAAGACCTCGAGACTCTCAAACTCTCACTTCAGACCCTCAAGTTGTAACCCCAACCCCAAAACAGAGTGGTCACGTATGAGTCCCACTCTGAGACCAGACTCTAAAATTGAAGCCCCATACTCTAGAGACTCCACACCCTTAAACTTAATTCTCAAGGTTCCAAACTGTGACTTCGGACCCTAAATCTCAAATCTTATACTCTACATTGAGATTCTAGACCCTAAATCTATTCTGAGGCCTCAAACCTTCCAAATCAGACCCCCAGATCCTCAAAATGATACACCAGAACTCAAAACTAAGGCTTTCAGATCTCAAAATTAGGGTCTCCAGATTCCAACAAGAAAGCCTCCAGTCACAAAACCCAAGACCTTCAGATTCTAAAACTAGCTATTAGCTATATCCAGACACAAATCCTGAGACACCCCCCCCCCCGATCTACCTTGAAACCCCTGATCCCCAACACTATTCAAACAGAGCCTTGCAGTATCTCAAGCTGGAGTCTGGATCCCTAAACCCAGACCCAGCCTCAAACCCTACCTCAGCTCTGCTGCCTCAGTCCTGCCTCACCCACAACCCTGCACCCGAGGCACGCTAGCCCCTACCCACTAAAGCCCCCAGAGGGAAGTCACCTCCGCCAAGTTCTGCTCCTGACTGGACCCAGGCTCCCCTCTGGCCCGTAGTGCCGGTTGGTTCCTCACCCCGGCTCCCCTCTGCCTCCAGCACGTGCCTCAGGTATGTGCAAAATGGCGTGAAGGCCCCCTTCTGGTTTAGCGCCACATGTGGGAGCTGGATCAAACTGCGACTCCTGTCGGTCCTGGAAAGCTGGCAGTGTGTGCGGGCCTTAGGCAGGCCTCGGTCACCACTGTCAGGTCTCGGGCGTGGCGCGGGCGCGAATGCTCTGGATGCTGCACGAGGCCTGAGGAGAAGAGCCAGACTTCACTCCTGAGGCCAGGCCACGCCCCCACCGGTCCCGCCAAGAGTGCTGGGCTGGAGACTGGAAACATGGAAGAGCAAGGCGCTAGTGGCCGGGCGCACGCGCGTCTGGCGAAGAGTCCTCTCTTCTAGCACAGCGCGACCTTGGCCTCGCACCTCCTGACAGCCTTTCCTGGAGGGCGCCAAAGTGCCGACCAATCAGCGCTCAGTCAGATGTCCACCTTTCCGGGGGTGGGGGGGACCCCGCCCCGCATGGTCACGCCCCATGATGGCTCCAGCGGTCTTGGATCTGCGGATCCTACTCAATAGCAGGCGGGGTCTCCCCAACTGCGAACTCTCCGGAAGAGAGATCTGGCCTGTCACCCTTCAGACCCTCAGGTGTCCCATTTCCATCCTTCCCCTTCCGCGCATATCTAACTGGGGCCCGTGGTTGCCAAGCACCGTGCTGCAAGTTGGGAATCTAGCCGCGATCTTCCCAGTGCAGTCTGGGAGGCTCACAGACCTTGAAAATCTAGTGAGGCAGGGGCTACATTAAAGTGCAATACATTGAGAAAGCATTCAAAGAAGAGGACCATTGGAACTGGTCCTTAGTAGCAGTTCCCCTCACGAAGATGAATGTGCCGTTATATAGCAAACTCTCCATTTTAGAAAGTCCAATTTCATGGCCCTTGAGGAGAGACTGGAAAATGAGTGAGGAGTAGAGGCCCCGGTGTCCAACATATTTCAGTACCAATCACTTTCTTGCTGTGTTGCCATGGAGAAGAGGCCCAATCTATTTCTGCCTTATTTATACACTTAGAATAATTCTTACTAGGATCGTCTTGCATATAATTAGCATGCAATATTTACTCGACACTTCTTTACACTATTCTGGGTGCTTGAACAAGACACACAAAGGTGTCTGTCGACATGGAGCTTCTAGTCTAACTACAATGCGGACAAGTTCCTAGTCATCGGGGTTTCTTCCCTCCTAAAGCTTAATTTTTTTCATTTGTTAATTAGGGGATGGTGGTAAGAAAACCCCGGGGGGGGGGGGATGGATGGAAAAGTGTTTGAGAAAATACAGGGCACTGTTAATTACTGTACTGATAAGTTTACGTACATCGATAAACCTGCCTTTTCCCAATTCTCCACCTCTCACAAACGTCCCTTTTGCAGTTTTCTCAATTCCCTTTCCAAGGGCCTGGGGCCAAAATGGAGGAGCTTGAACTCCATCTCCCAGCGCGCCAGGCGGGAGCGCTGTCTGCGCCTGCGCTGCCAAGCTCCATCTCTGCCTCCAGAGAATTAGTCATTCTTTTCTCCAGCCCGCCCCGTTGGCCTCCTCTCCCACCTCCAAGCTTGGCCGTGCTGCCTTCTGGGAGGTGTAGTCCGTAACCGCATGGACTCCAATTCCCAGCGGGCTTCGGGGCGGGAACCCGGAAGGGGAGGCTGGAGAGGAGCGAGTGGGGGGAAACCCGCGTAGCTGAGAGAGCTTCGGCGCGGGGAGATGGTGAGGACCGCAAGCGGGGGCCCGGGGGCGCTTAAGAGCCGAGGCGGGGGTTCGGAACCGGGTGACGTGAAGGGAGAGGTAGGGGCTAAAGAAGGAGCTGGATGAAGGGAGATCGTTTCGGGGAGGGGGTTAGGAGGAAAGGAGCGGAGGGAGTAGTAAAAGAATGGGGGCTGGGGATGGGTTTTGGAAGTGGGGAGGGAGTCGAGCTTTGGGACTGATTGTAAAGGAGCTGAGAGCTTTGGGAAGGGAGTCCCGAGTAGGGGAAGGGGCTAGGCGTCCAGGCAGAGGCCCTGATGGGGGCAGTTTTGAGGGAGTTAACCTGGGGGATATGGAAAGACATGGGTGGTCAGGGCTAGATGAATGACGGGGGCTGGAGGTTTCGAGGGGAGAGGTCAGCAGTGGATGGTGGGTGGGGGCCCCTGGATCGGATTGGGAACTGGAGAGCAAGTTGAGATAGTGGGAGAGAGAAATCAATGGTAGAGTGTTGTGTGGGTTAGGCTCCAGGACTAGGGGTGGGATGGGAGCGTGGGATTAGCGGCCTGGATTTAGCGATAGTTTTCCTAGCTCAGCCAGAGACTCCTGATAAACTGGACAGGCACAGAACTGTAAGATAATATGACCAGACGGGCCATCGAGACAACATTTTGCACTCTCATTTGTCCAGTGGGATTTGGGCAAGTGTAGTGGTTTATGTGTATGGTCAGCTCGGCATTCAGATCTCTCATTCTGCTACTCCTTTGTGACCTGTGCAAGGTTCCTCTCTGTGAAACAGTGCCCTTATCTGTATTGTGGGAACAACTTGTCACTGAGAAGAGGGGAGGGGCCATAAGATCTTTACCCTGACCAGCAGTAAATCCTCAGTCTGAGAGTTGTTGGTGAGAAGTTCCCCACCCCAGGAATGTGACTGGGTCGCAGGTGCTAATGGAGTCCCTCCTTTTCAGTTCAGCCCCAGGGGCGTTTTCTCAAAAACCTGACACTGACCTCGGCACACCCCAGGTCAGAACCCTGCAGGGGCTCCGGGCAGTCTATTGTTGAGGAAGTGCCTGACCCTGTTCTTAGTTGTTCGAGCGCCTTAACTCCTTTAATTCTGACAACACCCCTAAGGTGTAGGTGCTGTAACTATTTCCATTCTAGGGAAAGGAAGCAGAGGCACAGAGAAGTTAAGCAACTTTCCCAAGACCATTCAGCATTACACGGTAGAATCAGGGTTGCAGCCTAGACATCCCGGTCCAGAATCTGGCTTTTACTGCTGTAATTTAGTCCCCTCTCCTTGTCCTAAAGTACCATGTCCCGAGGAGACTCAGGAATGGGACAGAGTCTCAAGAACTGAAGCAGTCTGCAGTTGAGGTTTAGTTCTGCCATTTTCTTGCTGTGTGACTTTGGGCGAGTGTTTTGGCCTCTTCTCAACTATAGAATGGGATCAGCGACCCTAGGAAGGTTGCAACGAAGGTTCACAGGGGTAAGCAGGTAAAGTGCTTGGAATAAGTGCTCAGTACATGAGCTGTAATTAAAAGAAAGGAAAAAAAAAACCCATGAATGGGAAACACCCCTGAGAGAGAAGACAGAGAGGTACCCGTGAGCGGGACATCAGCCAGGCCCCTCCTTTCCTTTCTCTTCCAGGTCACCCCAACCCCCCCCCACCACATCCTGACTCTTCTGGTTCCCCATCCTCTACCCCTGGGCTCCCAAGGTGGCTCCCCAGGGGGGTGCTCAGAAACTCAATCTGTCCTCATTCCCATCTGTATCCACAGCCAAATGTAAATAATTCACTTGCCAATGCCCAGCCTGGCCCAACTCCAGGTATTTCAGTGAATAGGAAATATTTCTACAACTGTGTTTTCTTTTTTTCTCTAACCACCTCCCCCCCACCGCCCCCTCCCACTAGCCTCTTGGACATTAGGGCCTCACTGGACAGTTCGGCAACTTTGTAACGCATCGTGAAACAGTTCGGTCCTGCGTTTATCGCATAAACTCTTTGACTCTGATAGGAAAGCTTTGGTGTCAGATAGGTCCAGTTTCAAATCCCCATCGCTGCTGCTGTGTGTCCTTGGCTGAGTTGGGTTCCCACTCTGGGCCTCCGTTTTCTCATACGTAAAATGGGGCTACATTCCGACGGTGAGGGTCTTGTAAGGAGTTGGTGAGGTTAACATGTGAAGTGCCTAGGGCTTCCAAAGCCCTTAATAAGTGTGCCGTCTTTTAATGATTTTTATGCTCTCAAGAAAAATGTATTGAGCATGCACTCCGGAACCAGAACATCCTGATTTGAACCCTGGCTCTGTCACCCACCACCTGTGTGACTCTGGGCCTCAGTTTCCTCTTATGGAAAGTGTAAGTTTATTTCTCAAGGGGTCCACAGAGGTGTGAGAGCACCTACTGTGCGCCAGGGCCTGCCCTTGGGAGCTTCCTGTTGTCACAGCGCTGGTGGCACTTGTGCTCATTTGTCAGGTTTGGGTGATTCATTTTCAGCCCCTCATGCCAGCTTTGCCTGCTCGTCATTGTTTGCGTAGACTTTTTTTCACCCTTTGTCTCCGACGGTCAGTGAACTATCTGAATTCCTGTTGCGTTGGGGAGAAGTTGCCAATCTCTCCTTCATCCCTGTCCCCTTGTGTCACATCTGGGCACCCGGGGGCGATGCGATGCTTTCTTCCCCTCTTTATCTGTGTGTCTTAGAAAATACATCTGCTTTCCGAGTTATTTCGCGTTTTCTTAAAATCTTAAATGTATTTTCAGCCTGTGCTTGTCTGAAGCTTACTTATACAAAGTGATATTTTTACCATGTTTAATGGTGTATTTCTGGCAGCTGTGGTTAAAGCCATAGCGTTCCTAAAAGCACAGGTGTTGTAAAAAGACGGCTCAGCACCTGCTTTGTGATGCCACCCTGACCCCTTAAGATCGTAACTTCCCCCTTAATACTCCCAATCCCTCTTACTTGCTGTCTGTTCCTTGTAGCTCTCGCCATCTTGAAACTTACTATATGTTTATCACCTTCTCTCCAGTTTGTCAGCCCTGGGAGGACAAGGACTCCGTTCTCCTTTTCCTTGCATATCCCCAATGCTCGGAACAGTGTCTGGCACACAGTAATGGCTCTGCAAATATCTGTTCAATTAACAAGTGACGTCCAATAACCAACCATAGCAAAGGACTGGCCACGCTTTGGTTATTGTGCGGGACTAGGGTCAGAACATGAAACAGAGAGGGAAGAAGCCTTTGGCTTGGTCAGTGATTTCCAAACTTTTAGGTAGTCTTACTTTTTGTTAATAAATCACAGCACCTGCATAAGGAGTCTCGCCTTGAGGCC